GCAGGCACCTGCAGAGGTGTGAAAGAGGAAGCTCCCAAAGTTGTTGTGGAGTTAGTGTGGGTCGCGGCGTGTTTGCGCGCGCTTCCCAAGTCTTTTCCCAACGTCTTTGCCAGACGCGCAAGTCACGAGCGGGTCAGCCAGAGTGACTCAGCGCTCCCGCCGGAAAAGGCGTTGGGAACTCCCGCTCGTCTTCCTGCCGACTTGAGGGGAACCTTGCGGGAGAATCGGGGGGCGGGGGGGATCGATCGTTCTTGGCCGAGGACAGGCGGCACCTTGGCAAAGGCCGGGAGGGAACTCGGCACTCACCCTCGTCCGCTTCCTGTCGTGTGAGTGCTTGCCACTTGACAAGGGTCTTCCAGTCCTTCCACTTTGTTGATCCTTCTGACGCTTCCCGCCGTCTGGCAACGGCGTGGCGTTCACTTCCAAAAAAAACACACCTTTGCAGTTCCCAGGCTTTGAGTCGCAACCCAGCGCTCGAGCGGCTTTACTTTGTCTGAGGCACTGTTTGTCTCACATCAACTTACGGCCAGTCCATTGTTTGTTTGTATGCGCCCAAGATGACCCATCGTGCAGAGAATGTAACAAAGTATCCAATCTGCTTCACTCTTGCCCATCGCGGTGCACGCATGCACTGTGATTCACGCGGTGAGTCAGTGCGCGCGTGCACGCGGGACAACGGGACACGTGGGCGCACCATCGGCGCCGTTGGCGTGAGACGGGTCGCCGCCTTGATCTGCTTTGCTAGACTGACGAGACGCCACCGCATGCTCTGATCATCGCACAGGCGTGTCTAGACGGACCACGCACACAGATGGACGCTGGCAGTTCTCCGACGACCCAAAAAGTTGAACAGGATAAAGTTTTGCGAGCGAAACGGGGACGCACGAGGCCATAAGAGGTCATGGCTGCGTGTGCGTTTGTGTGTGTTGACGTACTCGTGTCATTTCCTTCTCCGCGAAGCACTAATCCGAATGCTGAGCAAGATGAGTAAAATGAGCAGAACAGGAAATTAAAGACGACGCCGGTTGAGCGTGCACGTGCGCGTGTTGGTCCGACATCGAAATGGAGTTGGCGCGATACGAGTCGAGTTGTGGATTGCTAACGTGGCTACTTTTGGCGCTAGTCGTAGCAATGCGTGGTGGTACTTGGACCTCAAGGGGAGGAAATTGGCACCCGATCCACCCACTTTTTGAGGTCTCCTGGGCATCTCTCGTACTTTACTCACACATGAAAGGCCTTTTCACACTGCACTTAGCAATGACGGCGCAGCCCGCTGGTTGTGTCTGTGCTACGAGAGCTGGAGGAAGAAACGCCATGTCGCGGTTTGCTGCAACAAGCAGGGGTGATACACTGCACCCTGAATTTAAAATACTGTTCTGTTTTGGAGTAAAGGGATGGAAAAATGTATAGATTCAAAAAAAAAAGATGAATCGATTATCAAAATAATGGTGAGCTTCCCTACTTTTAACCTTCAACCTCCAGTCATTGAGGGCCCCTGTCAGCATGTTGGAGATGTTTCCCCTCCTTCAACACACCGGAATCAAAAGATCCGGATCGTGATCAGGCTCCTGCAGAGCTTGTTGATGAAATGATCCTTTGAATCAGGGAATGAACGAGAGGCGAAGTTTGAGACCTGTGATCGAAGGTGCCCTCGAGCGCCCTCCATCAAAAGGCGTTGTGGTGATTTTTATTTTGCCTTTGTAACATGCGAAACCCTTCCATTTGGCTCTCTTGCGTCAAAAGTTTCCATTTGACATAATCATACTCAGACGCTTGCGTTTGATGTTTGAAACTTTAATGTGAAGCAGAAAAGTCCAATAAATTAGATCAGAAAATGTCACAAGCACATTTGTACATCAAAGCCATAATTTCCATATTTACAGAATAAAAAATAGGCTTTTTATTCTTCGTCCTTCTTGTTCAGTGTCAACAACACAAACTTTTCCTCCGTATTGTGAATTCTCTGTAATGTGTGGTTTTTTTCATGTCACGCGGTCCGGGAAGCTGGGAAGCATCCGAGAGCAGTCCAAAGAAAAAAAGGGACTTTTTGGTGAAACTCTGGAAAACTCCAACCGTTCCTTTGTCGCCTCGAAACACAGGTACGTGGAGGAGCAAAGTATTGTGGGAAATTTAGGAGGAAAAGGTCATCACCGGTCACTCTTTTGGGGGTAGTCGCAAATGTACATTTAGAAAACTTTCCAGCTTTTTCACTCACACACACACACACACACACACACACACACACACACACACACACACACACACACACACACACACACACACACACACACACACACACACACACC